TTATTATTATTATTAAGTGTTCTGTCTTACGACAGGTCCATTGCTCTGCCCAAAAAGAGCTCTCCAGTTTTCCCTATTCTCAGCTTCTCGTTTTAATTCCTGGAACTTTATCTTCTTTCCTTGTTTCAGATCGTCGGTTAGCTGTATCAATCTTCTTCCTAGTCCTCGCTTTCCTTCAACCTGGCCTTCGGTGATATCACTCAGTAACCCATTCCTTCTCATAATATGTCCCAGCCAGTTAGCTTTCCTTCGTGTAATCGCCTGCAGAATGCTTCTTTGCTCGTTGACTCTCCTCAATACTTCTTCGTTGGTCACTCGATCCGTCCACCTGATCTTCTCTATTCTTCTCCAACACCAGATACCAAACCGAAATATACTTCCATTATTTTGCTGTATTTTTCTGTTACTACGTTTGAAAACTTGCAAATTCATACGGCTTATGTCTGGAACAAACACGAGAATTACTGTACTAACGCCATATATCACGGAGAGCCTTCTGTACACAAAGGTACAAGATAGCTGTAAAGAGAGACTAAGAGAACATTCAGGTAAATAAATGATTGTTTTAATCTTTCTAATGTGGGTACACACAAGTGTAAATAAGCTATGGAAAAAACAAACATTAATTTCAATTCTTCTTCTCGTCATTTCTAAAAAAAAAAATTAAAGTGATAATGTAAGATTCTTAACTCTTAAGACTTCATATGAGTAAAATTCCACAGTAAACGCACATTAAAATATAAAGACGCTAGAATTATCAACATGCCCTCGATCCTTAATCTCTGTGCAAACTTTTCTTGGTTTTGAACGTGTCCTGATTCTACAGCCGTGGAATTTGGTTACCCAGAATGGGTCTTAAACGCAGGTGACTGACAGAGAAGCTCTGTGTATACACCTGATAAAACGTCGTTTCAAGACACAGCTTCTTCATTAGACGATATGCTGGTCGCTTTTACGTTGTTTCGTTTGCGAATATGAAGCTCCGTGGAATGCCTTGGGTTTGAACCTGGGCCTCCAGAATGAAACATTTTTATCCCGCTCTCTGAAGAATCCCTTTATTTCAATTAAGGTGTCGCGTCGTACAGTTTGCAAACTTCTGTGTAGTGTGCTAGAAACTGACCGATTAATAACTCAACTCCCTGATGACAGAGGCAGCAAGAACCTCTGAAACGTCGGTCAGTTCTTACCAGACTACACGGCGAAACGTCCCAGAAGATAGCCATCTTAATTTTCGTCGCCGTGAGAACCTGAAATCTTGCTTAATAAAATTAATGTTTTATTTCGTTTTCATAAGCGTGTTTTTTTTTAAAAAAAAGAAAGAAAACCATCGCGTTACGTGATGATTCCGGTCTGCGTGGGACAGAAAACTGCTTTTCCTTCCATAAGAAAAACCCCTCATCAGTTTCAACTCGCTGTGGCGCCTGAGAATATCACGTGACCCACGCATCTGAGGGTTTAATCTGGGCCGTAACTAATGAAAATCTGAGGGAGAGTATTTGAAAGGGGTCGCATTGTGCAGAAACGACCCACGGATTCTGAGTCAACACCCGGAACAAAAGGGCCGCGCTTCGTCACCTAATTGAGCTGCTTTGACGCCTGCACCGATCACCCAGCAAGGGCTACTTTAATATTCCTCTCCAAGCAACAACAGACACAGTCCGCGTTTTTCAAGTTGCTTGCGTCTGGAAACATTCCGGGCTGCTGTTACCCGGAAATTACGCTTAATTTTGCTGGGGAAAGGGAGTGGCTGGTTGATAAGCTGATTAACTGGTTAAGGAATTGTCTGACTCAGTCAGACATTTGACCTGGAACCTTTGTTTTCATCCTAACACGTCTGCCCCATTACATATCATCGAAGCGATATTTCAGGTTTTCATGGCGGCGAGTATGAAGGAGATTGTCTTCTAGATCAGTGGTATTCAACCGGGGGTACTCGTACCCCTGGAGGTACGCGAAGACATCTTAGGGGGTACGTGAAATTTAAAAATATATATATTATTTTATGATAAACACTGAATAATCAGTAATGTAATTTATTTAATTTATTTTAGATGTAGATTATATACTATGTATAACTTGAATTATACACCAACAACTTTGGGGGTACAAAGTTGAAGAAAAATTATATCTGGGGGTACGCGAACAAAAAAAGGTTGAATACCACTGCTCTAGATGTTGTATGGTCTCGTGGAAATATATCGACTTCTATTGCCTTCAGCATCAGTCATCGCCCTGATGATGGACACATCCTTACACGAATATGCACATTAACTTTTCCTTAATAAGAGATATACTGTAATTTCGTAAACCAAAAACTGGTTGTTTTATTCAGCCACGCGCGACTAACATATTTAAACTCCCAAGCTTTAATTCGAGTGTCAACATCACGTGTGAACAGCTGAGTGCCTAAGCTGTGTATCAGCTGTAAGCGATGTAAAGTTGGAAGAATCCGTAGTGACACGTTAACAGGATCAACATTAGTGGCGTTTCTTCTGAGAAGATGTCATAACCGCTTATTTTTTCTGGTAGAAAATCCCACCATATTTATCGCAAGGACTGTTTACTGTTTCTGAGACGAACACAAAGTGTCCTGACACGCGGTTGCTAAGATACGTCTTATGTAAACACAGGCTATATTTAATCACTCTGTGTCAGATGCTGGAAATTCGACGTTTTGTTATTATTATATACGCTAAAAATTATTGTTGTTTTTAATTTTCCTAATCTGCGTTTTAAAATGTGTAAACGTAATTTTGGATACAGCTAATCTAACAATTCTACGCTCTCCCCGTTGTTTTGTATGGGTGTGAAACACGGTTCTCGCGTTAAGGAAACAACACAGGCTAAAGGGATTTTGGAACAGGGCGCTGAAGAGAAAAATGGAGAAAATTTCATAATTATGAGCTTCATCATTTTTACACGTAGCGCGGATAAAGGAGATGAGAAATGCGTACAAAATTTTGGTTGGAAATCCTGAAGTATGCCGATAGACAGATGATACCAAAACATACTTAGAGGAATTTGGTTTGAGGATGTGGGATGGATACATCTGGCTTGGGATAGGGCCGGTGAAGGGCTCTTGTGAACACGGTAATGAACCTTATGATTCTACCAAAATGGGTAATATTTTACTGATTTCTGAAGACATTGAATTAGTTATTTCTAAATTTATTAATATAAAGATATCACAGATTTAATGTTTTTCGTACTGTTTCAAAGGAACATTATATTTAAATGCTAAGCGTAATTCTAAAACCAAGGTCAGCACGGCTTGTGATGCGTTAAGCAATGTTGTTAATCTGTAAAGTCCTTTGTAGCCCTCGCGTCAAGGGTGAAGTATTGTTTACTGTTACGTTGTGTTGACAGTAAAACCACCAATGATCATTCTCTTTGAGAATAAAACTTTTCTGACAATAAAATTATTTGATGAATGACAAAGGAATTGGGCCCAAGACAATAGTAAATTTTATATTTCATTTAATGTCGTAGGAACGAAAACACCAAAATGGATCGGAATGATTGGATGATTGATTCTGTAGAAACCCTTGGGTAATGGCAAAATGTTTGGTCTTTACTTTTCGAATTATGTCTTGAAAAATATAGGCCTGCTCTGTGCATTTACGACAGATTTTTCAATTGTTTTACTGTAATAAACTTAGAACAAGTCACGATGCCCTGTCACTGTTTGTATATGTTACACAATCTTTTCGCATTGTCATGGAAGTTTATAAATGGATTTTGAAACACGTGTTTGCATTGGCACATAATTACCTAACGTATCACAGCTCCTTACTTTTAAATTTTCTAACACTTATGAATTGTAACAGTGTGCCAGGTGTTTATTCAAGTATCTCGTTATGATTTATGTCAACTGAAAAATATGTTACCCAACTATGAAAGACGCTGAACGCTTAAGTTAGATTGCTTGTTGCTAAGTATAAAAGATAAAACAACGATAATGATGTAGGCATACAGTTTTCATTGTAATTTTCAAACATTTAGAATGGAGACATGTTAAGGTGGGATTCTCACTGTTCTTAATTAAGAACATACATATGAACGCTTATAGGAGAGAGACAGAGGTGATGATTTAAGTAATGTAGACGTAATGAGGTAAGTAGTAATTTCCGGTTTACCACCATTTTACTACTCGGAAGGAATCCTCAGAAGCCTTGTATGAGAGAGAGACTTGGTTGGACATTTGGACTTGGTGTCAAATAGAATCTTCCGGGAATCGAACCGTGACCGTCATTCCAGTCAACTGACAGCTTCCTCGAATTATGCCCTCCTCCGTAAGAAAATATTAATTGTAATTAAAGATTATTAGGACATTTAACGATGCTGTTTTAACCGTAGGGGTAAAACGTCGGATGAGACGCGAATATGACTGCAGTGATGATAGGTAAGGATTTCAAAGGAAACTGTCGTGGCGGCTCTGGGTTAGAGAACAAGGTTAAAAGAACTGAAGTCAGGATAGTTAGTAACCTGACCGAAAATCGAACCTGATACTTTCCGGATAAGAGTCAGAATTGCTGAAATTGAAAACTTCCACTTTATACGCGGAGCTCGTATTAATTGTCTGTCGGTACGGACTGAATCTTTTAAGTATTATTTAAATAAGCGTCGACTTCAAAGGGTTAAAAATTGCACTGCTAGGCTTTGTTGAATCTACTGATGTGAAATCAGCAAAAATGTTCTTAATGTTAAAACGTTCATCTTTTCGTAATGGTTTCTCTTTGACACTGATTGCACGTTTACATTGTTATTAAACCCTTCCATACATACGGCGAAAACTAAAATATTCCTGTTCTCTACAACACACGGAGATTAAATAAAAATAACCCTTTTGTCAATGACGTTCGTGATTTTTGTTCCCACCCTGTCTTACCATACACGCAACTACCACAGCACTGAACGCACCCAAAAAGAAAAACAGCAGACAGTCACTGAGCGCTAGTGGAGTTTTTATCTGTCATTTGTTTCTAGTACTCGGAGTGAGGTTAAGGTAAGGTCTGTGTTCGTGGAAACTTCTAAGTGTATTTTCAGGAACAGAAATGTATGTGGAGTGTCAGTTATTACTTTAATATAGTCTTACATTAATTTATTTCCTATATCAACATTAAAATACACGGTTTTACTTGAGAATTGAGACTGATGTAGCGATGTTTAGATTTCACCAGTGTCGGTTTCAAGGCCAGCCGGTCCAATATTAGTATAGGTTATGGTGCAGTGTGTTGTGTGGTAACAAACGCAGTTTCCTTCTGTGAATCAACCTTATTAAAGACACTAAACTCGTGTCTGTAAGAAGAGTCATGACTTCATCACGTTCAGATCAAATTCAGGTGGACGTTAGCCATAGTGTGTTCAGAAGAAATGTATATTATTTAATGTTATCACCTTATTTGCATTATTATACATGCAGTGTTTATAATATGTGAGTGCCAAATACGATACAGCATGCAACCAGACAGACGGGGAATTTCTTTGGTTCTGTTCAGATACCAATTTGACCGCATTTCATCGCATAGCACACCGCAACTTGTGATAGACGCTGGGGGCGTCGGTAAGTATAAATGTTTATTACTAGACTTGCCGTGGTAAATACGATTTAACCCTCTAAAGCCCAGTGGTGATCATATATACTACCTGCTTTAATATTACGTAACTCTGCACAGTAAATGTGTTGGTTCCGCAAGATTCTCGTTGTAAAAAGTGAGTCTTTCCTTAAAGGCATTAAGCAACTAATATATTTTAATGGTGAAGTGTAGTGTTTTCTTTTCGGTACGGACTGAATTCTTAAATATTATTTAGACTAGCGTCTAGCAGTTAGTTGAAGTAGCCTTAAAGATTTGTAAACATTCTCGACGATATAAGAGGAGACAGACGTTTTGGTTTAGTGTTTTCAGTATTTTTGGACGTAGATATATGTTTTACCAACATATCAGGACTAAAGTTACGTTATTTACGTTATGTTTGTTTTGTGTCTAGTAAATATAACTAAAACACATATTTTGTGACAATTCTGGCAGCAGATTATTGCATGGTCAGAGTAGCCAACTTTAGGCCAGCATGGGTTCTAGAAAGAACAATGACGCACTTTTCTTCGAGGTAGCGACACTAACGCATTTACTGGACAGAAATACGAGGGAATGCTCTGGTATTTTAAATAATTTTCTAATTTATGCCATTTGCTGTCATTTAAAATCTTAGCTATGCACATGAGAAGATGACGTGATATTCTTTAGTTCACATAGTACAAAATTTGCGTCGTGTCCATCACTCATAACATATGTTTACGGTATCGTTTTGAGTGATTGGAAAAAACCCTTACATTCGGGTTTCAACAAATGAGGCACATTTCTTAATCAGCTGATCAACTACTAAGCCCCTTTTGAAGGGCTCTACTCCGTGGAGTTATTTAGGCGTGTTAATGAATCAGCTGACTTGCTAGGCGAATCTGAAGAAAACGATTTAAAAATTATTAGGCCTGCATGCTTACACATAGGCTGTTATGTTGGATTATAATACATTATAAAAGGGTAAAATTTTATAATTATTAGATATTTTGTAATGTGCTTCTTTGCAAAACAATAATAATAATAATAATAATAATAATAATAATGACTATGCTCTTACTGATCTGATAGAAAAGCAACTTACAGATTTACTGAATAATTAAATTTATTTATTTAAATGCTTTACAACAGCGAAGCACTGACAAACTGACAACAGTACAGGATAATAATAATAATAATAATAAAAGTAAAACATTACAAATACAAAAACAAACAAACAAATGAACTAAATATATAAATGTACCATTTAATTCGTTTAGTGCATAATAATTAAGAATTAAATGAGCTAAATAATGTATTAATAATAATAATGGGTGTGAATTTAGGAAGTTAGTCTACTTGAAATTTCTTCCAAAGTTCTTTTCTGTGGGACATAAGTTCAAATTTCTTTAAACAACTCCCCTACTCTCTTACAATAGTAACTATAGGCCTGTAAGTTATACTTTGGCAAAGATTCTTTCTGTCAATACAGCTAACCTAACAGTTCTAAAAAATTTAAAACATGAGAAGGGAAAGAAATGTTAAAACAGGTGGTTCGTAAATTATGTACTATGGAAGTTCTGTTCAAGGATTAAGTTTAAATTTGTCAAGTGAATGTCTCTGTTCTTAGGCAAAGCTTATTTTAACCCCAAATTTAACATAGTTTCCAAAAAGGGTTACTACAGTTTATGTACGTTCTCCTGAAAATCTCCCAATTAAAAAGTGATAGTGGAACCACGGTTCCGGAGAATTTGACGTAAATACGTCTATACGGAAAGGAAGTTTATATATTGGCTTTATTCTAAATATTTCCTTTATACATGCTTTACATTTGAGTAAAGTTTGATTAAGACATTGATTATTCAACTTGAATTAATTACGCTTAAGATGGGTCTGTGGTAGCTGAATGTAATGTAATGTAATGAAATGTAATGTAAGGTAATGGAATGTTTTATAGGTAACAACAATGCCGAGTAAACAGATGACGTTTCGTAGGTAACAAAAATGCTTTAATGCTTAACTTGTATTAGTTACGCTTAAGATGGCTCTGTGTTAGATGAATGTAATTTAAAGTAATGTATTTTAATGTAATGTAACGTTTCCCAGGTAACATAACAATGAAGTTTCCCTTTTTCGTAACACATTTTTCGCCGAATGACCCTTCCTCATAGACGTATTTACGTCAAAAAATCCTCTCCTTCGTGAAATTTTGTTCCAGCGTAACAGAAATAAATTAACATAGGTCCCTGTACGATACATAATCATTCTCTGTGCGTTTACACGTTCAATTTAATGCGCTGCCTTACGGTTTAAATATCAGGGCTTGAAAAAAAAGATTAAACCAATTCGTATTCGTCAGCCCAAAATATTTGAAAGTGTCGTTTGTAATTACGCATAAGGACCGAAGACTTTCGTCGCCATATTGCTTGAAAGTAACTCTGAAAAACGTAGGACAGTGAATTTTATCGTTGGAAATGGGAAGAAATATTGTTGAAGACAAAATGTTTCTGTAAAACTGGGATTCCGGCGAAACTTTTTCCCGACTTCCGGTAAAAAAGAAAGAGGGCAGAAGTTCGAGCTGTTGGGCCCCCTGGATGAGCTAGAAGAAGGTCCAACTTCCGAAAACTTTGTAATATTATTAAAAGATAGATGGCGAACGAAGTCCAAAATTCGAATTTTATAAATTAAGAAATTGTGTGTTGATGTTTAAATATTCTTGCGTGCATGTCGGTTAAATCAGCTCATCTCGAAAGTCAGTCTCTAAAGCTAGGCGTGATGTCAAAACTTGCACCAAATTGTATATTATTTTTAAGTCGTTCTACTGTAATATGTTCTTTTAAACCTATTTAATTATTCTTTATTTAGCATTTCTACATAAACATGAAATATTTAAAAAGATTCTGTCAATGGACGATGTTGCATCAGACATGAGATGACCATTTGTTGAGAAGGGTTTGGGGGGGGGGGGTTAGGCTCCGAATTTTCCCAGACTGATCTCGTTCGTCCTCATATAAATATTCAGTCCTTACCGCAAAGAGAACACAACTCTTCACCATTACAAAGATCAAATTTTTAACGCTGTTTTAAGGAAATAATCAGTGTTTATTGTAAGATGGCTGTCTTCTGGGTTGTAGCGTAGTGTAGTCTGGCAGAAGCTTGCCAACGTTTCAAATTTCCCTGCTGCCTCCATCATCAGGGCGATGCACGGCGCTACAACCCAGAATATAGCAATTTTCGTAGTCACCACCGTGAAACTCTCAAATACTTTTTTACACTGAGTATTATACAAGCCCATAAATGCTTTGTACACGTAAAATTCGAAATGCTTTAAAGTGTTAATACGTACAGCGATAATAAACTTTGTCTATTACAGCTTTGCTGACGTTTTTGTTATAGTCGGTTTGATTTTGGCGCATGAATACATTTTTCTGATAGTAAATTTTTGTCGTGGGACACTCTCGTCAGGTACTGAAACTAACCTAGGAACAAGCAACTGTTGGTTCACACTCTGCGAGCTTCAAAGCGCCGACGTGATTTTACGTGTCTCTCCCAGGGATTGTCTATGTCAATTCTGCGTTACGTATTTGATTTAACCGTAGAGGTTAATGCAATTGAAGCTAATGAACATTTGTATCTATTCCGTAAACCACATTATGTGTCAATAGCCCGGTAAAATGTTTGTCTGGTCGGCCTGGCGAACATATAGACAAATGATTCAGCAAATATATTTATATGCGTGCAACACTGTACCAAGTTCAGTGCTTACCTGTCGGTAGGGAAGCAGTTGCGGCCGCTTATTATATCAACTTGCACTGGAATCACATCACCAGACATTGAAGTCTTGTCGGCGCCCACACAAAGCACACAGAACTTGGTACAGTAGCCACGCCCCAACGACGCGCCGCGTCCAATGACACCGGGGCATGATCTTGAGCAGACCCCGCCTATACGGTAGCGCGAATGGGGTGTTCTGGGCGAGTAGGCGGAGACAAGACACAAGTTTCCGGGGACCCGGCAGTGCACGTTTCGAGCGTCCGGCAGTGTTCGCTTCTTTGCCGCGCGCGGCAGGAGTTTAAACGTGTTCCCAAGAAAGGTACCCGTCTCGCGGGCCCAAATGTGTTTAGCCATGGACGAAGGCGGTCGCCTGCTCCTAGGCTACCGTGATTTACAGAACGCGTCGACAATGATCCTGGACACGGTGACATCTCCCACCGCCCCAACAACTCCGGGAACCCTGCCAGTACCCATGATAGGCGCAACAGCTGCTCTGCATTCATCACCGGTGGACTCGCCCCTGGATCTGCGGGGCGGACACTCGGCGTCGGCACCCATAAGCCCCGGCGTCATCTGCAGGCTGTCAGCCAGCGGTGACTCTGATGACTCCGACCCGGACATCAACGTTGATTCTGACGATCCGGAAGATTCCTCGCCGACTCTGCTCCGCTCGCGAAGTAGCAGCATTGCAGATTTCCACCGACACTTCATCGGCAGCGGTGGCGGCCAACAGCGGTCGGAGTCTTCGTCTCAGGCCGCTGTAAACTCCAGTGGCCTCCAGGAAGAGGAGTGTTCCCCGTCATCGCCGTCAGAACAGAGCAAGAAGTCGTCACCGCCCTCCGCGCAGGTGAAGCCTCCATACTCGTACATCGCCCTCATCACCATGGCCATCCTGCAGTCTCCGCACAAGAAGCTCACTCTCAGCGGCATCTGCGAGTTTATCATGACGAGGTTCCCTTACTACCGCGAGAAGTTCCCCGCGTGGCAGAACTCCATCCGGCACAACCTGTCTCTCAACGACTGCTTCATCAAGATCCCTCGCGAGCCCGGGAACCCCGGCAAAGGCAACTACTGGACCCTGGACCCAATGGCGGAGGACATGTTCGACA